CGTGCAAATCTCTAGGATGACCGATTCTTTGGAACCCCCTCAAACCATATACGAGAGCATCACTCCGCTACTTGCAAGATACAACGATAAGAGGAAATTTTGTAACATCACGGACTTGCCCCGTTCCTTGCTACCCCCAGGGAAAGAGGTAAGATTGCTCCGCTTAAGGGCTGATGCCAATTCTTTGGAACCCCCTGGGCGACCCGAAGTTCAAACCAACAGCCTCAGAATCAAGATCGCAGAGAAACCCGTATCATGGCAGGATATCCGCGACGGTCTGACCCCAGAAGAACATGTGGCAATCCGCGAGGAAGATGCGCAGATGATGGTCACGGTGTTCTCCTGGCGATCAGATAATTCGTTTATCTTTGCACCCCCTTCCGGAAGCGCTGCACGAACTGATACCAAATCCATCACTGTCCAACTATTGGGACAACTGTATGAACTGCATGTACCACAGTACGTACCCGACGAAACCCATCGCCCGATCGCGAGCATCCTAAAAGAATATCAGGGAGCGATTAGTGTAACTGACACCGATATCGGATTGTCATTAGTGATTCAACACGAGATCCTGACTAGAAACCACCCCCCCAATCCACTGCAAACCATATCAATACTCCCTTGCGCAATGAAAGACAGCTCTACAGAGGGTTAGGGAATTCGAAGCTAATGGTTGGATTGAACCGGCCACTGGGCCATGGTCGTTCCCAGTCGTATTAGTACCTAAAACGAATGGGTCAGTCCGCATCTGCATCAATTATCGTAAGCTGGATGATATCACGATCAAAGATGTATATCCTCTCCCTCGGATTGACGATTTGCTGAATGCGATTGGATGTGCTAATTACTTCAGTAAGTTCGATATTCGTCATGGATTTCACCATATCCTAGTTAAGGAGGAAGACCGGCCAAAGAACGCTTTCGATTTGTTCGAAGGCACGTGGCAATGGGTTCGGTGTCCGATTGGAATCTGCAATGCGCCAACTACATTTCAAAGAGCGATGAACGTGACGTTCCAAAACTTTGTCAACAAGACTCGGTTAACGCAGGGGATGATTCATTTCTGCGTAATCGTGTATATGGACGACATCCTGGTCTACTTGGAATCGTACCACGGACATGCACCGCACATCGAATGGACGTTGGGAGCGCTGAGAGACACCAGATTCAAAATTGCGCTGAAGAAAAGCGAGTTCTTCCTTTCGGAAATCTCGTTATTGGGCTACGTAGTGACACGGGGAGGCTTGAGGCCCGACTCGAGAAAAGTCATAGTTGTCAGAGACGCTCCAATTGCCACGTCGCTGATGCAGGTTCGAGCCTTCCTGGGACTGACGTCGTATTACCGTCGATTTATCAAGGGATTCGCTGCTATTACACGACCTCTAACAAACTTGCTACGAAAGGACCAGCCCCTCAGCTAGGACGCGGAGTGCGAACGGGCCTTACCACTCTCAAGGAAGCCCTGGCCACGACACCTATTTTGATCTGACCGGACCCAGCGAAGCAATTCATTCTCATCACGGATTGGCAACCCGAGGCCATCTGCGCCATTCTAGCGCAGAGGGGAACGACGGTCGCGAACACGTCATCACTACAACAGTACGATTTCGATATCATCCATCGAAAGACGGAGAGGCACGGGAATGCGGACGGGTTGACGCGACTACATCGACCAACGAAGGTCGCCAAAGGCGAAGAGATCATCCCGTGGAAAAACCAGAACCGGCAAGCGGACCCCGATACAGACAGGTGGCAGTTCTTCCACGAAACAAGGAGCACGCACGTGGCAATGGGTGATGGAGGCAACTCTGGAGCCTCTCCCTCTCCTCTTTCCTCCTCCTCTCTTCTCTCCTTACGTGATAAATTTTGTTATTTTTGCGAAACCATTCCGCGGGTCTACTCGGCCCCTATGCATCCTAGTGGGGAAAGGTACGTCGATTGGGTAGATTGTCGACAGTGCGTGTCGAGAGCCCATGGCTCCTACATCCAGTATCGAAGCGGCAATAAGCCTTGGCTGTGCCCCTTATGTCGGATTGACAAAATCCCGACCGAGGCTCGGTTCCTCGATGCCATGTTGGAAGGTATGGAAAATACCCAAAGGTTTAGGAGGGCAGAAGTATGGACCGACGTCGCTTTGATAACTACTGTAGTAGGGAACCCCCTCCGAGACTTCACCAAGGAGGATCGGAGGAGGGCTAATGAGAGGGCTCGGGACTATCACTGGAATGAAGACGGTTGGAAAAACGGAAGACGGACGGTAGTGGGATATGCCTGACTGTACCACACCCGTTCATGAGGTATGACTGGGTTAAATCGGCGCACGAGGAAATTGCGACCCATTTCGCCGTCCGAATCACCGAGACAGCGATTGATAAGAACGAATGGTACTGGTCCAATATTCGTGACGATGTTAAGTTCACCGTCCGAAATTGTCACGTTTGCGCTGCTGATAAGGTGTTGATCCAGCCGCCAAGATCGATAGTCCCGACTGTAGTCGAACGACCTTTTCAAAGAGTTAGCATGGACACTACCGATATCGTGGTGCCTCCTGGACCGAATAGCTGCGAATATTTAATTTTATTGGTATTCGTGGATCACTTTTCGAAATGGATCGAGGCGTACCCATGCAGGACGCGACAGGCAGCAGAAATTGCGCGATATGTCAACCGTTTCCTCGGGATGCACCAGGACACGGAAGAAATTTTAACCGACAATGGGGCGAAATTTAGAGGGGAAGTTTTAATGAATCTGGTCATACCTGGTGTCGCCATTCGTAATACTGCACCCCACATGTCACAGTCTAATGGGCTGGTAGAAAACGCGAACCTGGTAATTAAGACAGCTCTGCGACGAAATATCGCGGCTCGGGACACGAGGCCGTGGCCTGATATTGTGGATCACATCTTGGCGGTTCATCGAGGAACACCCCACAAGTCTACAGGCTCAACCACTTTTCAATTGCGTACCAATAGCTTGGCATGCGTCTCGATACCGAGTCTCCACGATGAATCGACCCTGGGCCGACGGCCTACGAGGGCCACGGCTCGGAACAAGGCCAAACGACACTTGGAATTGATGGAACGGTCCCTTCCCCGACTGGCCCGAAAGTGCCAGCGGATGACTGAATTGGCCCACGGACGACAGGTCCGAAGCTACGAGGCCCGAAATGGGAACGCGAGTCCGCGGCCCCAATATAAATTGGGGGATATGGTGCAGGTGAGGAAATGTGCTCGCCAAGGGAAGTTGGGGCCACGATTCTTCAGGCGATTTCGCGTGGCTGAGCTCGGCCCGAACGGGTGAACAAGGTGCGGTTAGCACCCAAGGTCTCAGGCAGCCGATCGGCTCGTCCGATCGTTCGCCATGTGTCCTATCTGAGTCCTTTCCCTACCTCCCCATCTCCACCTTCGTCTGCTTCCTCCTTCGACGCCGAAGAGGAGGACGACTGTCTAGCCTCCCCCTCTCCTTCCTTGTCCGCAACTCCGTCCCCACCTCCATCGCCATGAGCTTTTCGGTGGAGCAGCCAGTAGGTGCGCAATTGATGACCCCGAGGGGGCGAGTTACGATAATCCGGCAGGTGCAGCGGCCACGACTTAGCCCCGACCTTCTTCATTTTGCGGCCTTCTTCAGTACAGTAGCAATCCACGCGGCGGCCGAGTTCCGATTTGCGCAGGCGGGAACGACATGTGTACTAGCTGAGATCTCGACCTTTCAGCGCTCTCTACCCGGGTTCAGCCACGTCTCTGTCATCATCGTCTTCACCGGAGACATCACCGCAATACCTTCGGCGATCCACGCGGACATCTTCCCGACCTTGAGGGCTTGGGGAGAAGAAATTGCGCCTGGGTGGACAGCGCTCCTGGCCCGACGGGGAGACAGGATCCTGACGTCTCATGACATCGATCTGCAGCTCCGCTCTTCCAGCAGTTCGCCGCCGATCCTGCTTCTGGAGCTTCGTCCTTTTGCGCTGCCCCAATGAGTCGTCGTCATCTTTCTCTCTTCGGTCTTCCTTCCGATCTCCCCACCTTTTGGCAGTCCGCTCACGCCCCCACCCTCTCTTTCTGCATCAAGTTGCTTACCGTGCCGATCCTGAACGAAGATAAGTGAAGTGATTGGTGGGACGCCTACCTGGAGCTTAGCTTCTGCCTCATAAGGGCGATTTTTCATTGGTCCGAGCCAACACCTGGGGGGGAGGGGACTGAAGTCCCGAACGATGAGGTGGAGCTGCTAATCGTACAGGCCTGGCGCACGAAAACGGAGGGAGAACTGTTGGGCATAGTATTTTGGTGGAGGAGGGAAATCTCGCCCTCATCAGGAGCGAGTTATTGGTCTTCTTGGCACAGCTAGTGGACGATCTGCCCCTTGACATCCTATCAAGGTTCGACAGCAAGCCCGACCCTGACGTACTTCCTCGCATGCTTGCGCCTCATCTGCTGTGGTCCACGTGCACGAAGTTGGACGCGGACAACTGTCTTTTCCCGTCCCAGGATCTCTACCTGGAAATCAACGTCACCGATCTTGTGTTGTGGGACCCCGTCATCCAACGGAAAAACGTGTGAAACGCCACCAACGAAGACGACGACGAAGAAGAAGAAGAAGAAAAAGAAGAAAAAGAATCGCGCACGGATCCGGATGATTCCGACTACCTCGGCGAAGAAGAGACCGAGGAAGAATTAGAGGAAGAGGAAGAGGAGGAAGACGAAGAAGAGGAGGAGAGCGAGCCCGGAGAAGCAGGCGATCGGCCCAAGCAAAGTGAAGAAGAAAGAGAGGTCGAAGCGCAAAGGCAACGAGAAAAGGCGGAAGGCAAGCAACCGATCAAGGAAGGGCCCCCGTCGGAGCTGTTGTTGGGAGACCCGTTGCTCAATCCGGAGCCGCCGAGCGAGGAGCCCGAAGACGATGGAGCTGCCACCGAGGGATCGGGAAGCCGCCGCCGCAGGAGGAGTGAATCGCCGACTCCATCCCTTTCCCCACCCCGCCCTACCCTTCGCCTATGTAGAAATGCGGGTGATCGGGCTTCATTCCCCGTCATTATCCCGCCGTCCCCATGATTACATGATGGTTCGCCAACTCCCAGGTCAACCCCCTTTCCCTGATGGATGGTGTCCTTTTCCGCCCACCCTCTTCCATCAACTCTACGCCACGCATCTCCTAATCACCATCGTCCCGCACTCTACCACTCGCTCCCTCGTCGATTCCTTCTTTCTCCACGTCCTTCTCTTTAGCACGAACTGGCGGGAATACAATAACATAGAAGTTTATTATGTTGTCTCGGGTACGATCCCCGCCTGCGAGAACTACGAGAATTTTCGCGCTGCCCTCCGTCGTACCATCTCCACCTTCTATCCCGACTACCTCGCCTCGCTTCCCCATCAACACGAGTATGCTCTTTTCCCTCGCATTCACCATTCCATCCACTACACTTCCCTTCCCGCCCTCGGAACCCATGATATCCATCGCTTCATGCCCCCTCTTCCCCAAGATCCTCCACCACTTCCTCCGTCCGTAATTAGATTGCCCTTCCCTGGGAATCTGTAGGATAGAACCCACGAATGTCACGTTGGATGACTTCCGCGCTTTTATCTTACGGTAAGTGGCACGTAGAGAGCTCAACGTCGTCGATCGATTAGAGAGGTCGACACGTGTCGAAGAATCAAGCAAGCAGGAGCTTGCTCAAGATTGGAACCCCCTGGGCGTCACATATATGACGAACTACTTTCTGTCATTGCGCGATTTTCCTCGCCGGGTTGCTAGAGGGAGAAACGACAGGACGAAGGGGTGAGTTGTGGAAAGCGGGGATCGGTTGGGCAAGTTGCATGGATACCCTCACTTCTTTTTTGTTTTTGTTGGAATTCGTTTGCCCCGTGCCGGGAAAGCCCCGCGCCGACGATTGGATGGTGGCACCATGACGGGCGCAAGAAATGATTGTACCATAGTTTCTTTCTTGTTCTGCTGTAAGCACTAGGAATTTTTGCGCGATTGGGCACGGGAATTTTCGTTTTCGAATTTTTAACTGATGTCGAGCCCCCACGGGCTCTCGGAATTGTTTTTCTTCTCGGACTTTCCTTTTGCAATTAGGACTTAGACTAGGAATTTAGGTGCTCTGAATTTTGTCGCGCAACGTTCGCACGCATCTTGTGGCGCGAGGAACTGGGTTCTGACTGAATCACGTTTTTAATCTTGTGCAACTGTCGTTTTTGGCGGGCGTGATTGCAACTATAATCCTTCTTCTTTCTTGATTCTCCTATGTTGCCCGCCTTCTTCCTTCTTCCCCATCTTGCATGCTCTGTTCTAACTGGTCGAGGCGCCTGCATGACCGGATCGATGCGTGGAGAGCGGCTACGACCCCCACGCCGCGGTCTGGCCATGCAGACGTAGGCACTTCCTCTCTTCTTTCCCTATCCATCTGATCTTAATCTCGTACCTTTCGCGCAGGCATGCATGCTATAAATTCCGCAAGCGCGATTAGTTTGCTCTCTAAGAATTTTGAGGTTAGCGCGATCAGTGAGGGTTGGCTAACAAGCAACTTGGAAGGTGAGTGAGTGTGAGAGTTGGGCGATCCGACGAGCTGGTGCCAAGTATGCAGGGTTGACGTATAAGCCGCGACGAAATGTGGCGCACGGACGAACCTGACGGGCGTATGCGAGCTAAGCGGGGTGACAACTCTGTGTGGATACGTGGCGACGGACTGCCGGTATCGTGGGTATTGATGCGCAGCGACGGACCGCCCGCAGCAGGAGAGAGAGAAGGAGAGAGAGAGCAGTGGTGTGGGTGTGGAATAAGGCTTCCTTTTGTTGTTCTTTTCATTTTGTTTTTTGTGCATCTGTATAATTTTAAATTATGAGATTGCGGATCTCTTTATCGCGGCCCTTTTCTTGTGAACTTCTCGCGTATATTGTCTCGGATTTTCCTTGTTGTTTGCTTGGTATGTATGCATGGAATTAATGTAGGTTTTTTTTTGTTAGCGATTTTTTCGATCTGTTTTTACGATGCGTGTTGTCTCTGACCAGTGTTCGCCTGCATGAGATGTGCAATCAGGTCTGATGAGGAATGCTCACTTTGGATGTTTGAAGTCTAATTGTTCTTTTGCGTCACCTATGTGGCATGTAGTGATTGGTAGGATAATTGCATTTACGGTTGAATGTGACCGGCACACGGAACCAATCGGTTGTTCCTTACGTACACGCGTGCGTACGATCACGATCTCGAGAAAACCGAGTCACCACGTACGCACTCGCCTGCGTAAGTCGGCTTTAATCTCGTGTAAGGATGTGGGGGATGCGACTTACTAAACAGACATGGCTACCAGATCTCCTTCCCGTGCGTCTGATTACGAAACTCTGAGGGATCCGGAATATTGGGAAAGCGAACAACTTAGACGGTGGGGAAATTTAAGAAATTCGAAATTCCCTTGCCTCACTGAAAACGATCGATTATGCGCAAGAGACTTTCACGGTGCCATAACTAGCGACCCCAAGGTGTCCCGACTACCCGAAAACTTATAACACGCAATATTTTATATCCCCAGGCTTCGTCATTATTACTACCAACTTCCCTCCCTTCATATCCTTCTCCCGTATCACCAACTCACATTAGTACCGTGCAATTTCATAGCTCGCTACTGGCCCAGCCCGCCGTGCGAGGGTTGTCAGTATCACCGGGCGGGCCGAGCTTCGGGAAATACCCGACAGGCCCGAACTGAAGCTGAACGGCAATTGCACTGGCACAACTTCTGCGTACGGCCTGCCTCGGCGGAACCCGAGGCCTGTTACGGGCAACACCGACAACTGGTCGAATCGCGCGACCAATCTCGAATACGAAACCAACTGCAATGGTGATTCCTTTTCCCTGTTGGCCTGAAATGTTAAACCTGTTAGCATGGGCAATGTTGTTGGGATTTTGTTCGGGAAAGCAAGTATGTTTAAATCTATCGGTACAACGATAACCGGAGAAGTGTCCCCTACGCATGCCATCTGCCTTATGCTGCACGACATCAGCAACCTACCCTCTAAGTATATCCCCTTTTGCATCTGTACCGCTGGAACTTGCCACAGGAGATCTTAGTTCCGCCCTGGGACTCCACCCCCACTTTCCTAAAATCCTTGGCACACCCATTTTTCACACTTCCGAACCCCCATCCCACTCCGATCAGGAAGTCGCACTGGGCGTGAGGTTAGGGCGTCACATGACTACGTGATCTTTCTGTTCCCGAAGATCCTGCTTAAAGGATTTTCAGGCTTCATGTGTGTGGGATGTAATGGTGTCTTATATCGCCTGTTGAGCTTGCTGCAACCCGAATCTATGGTCTTTTCTTTCAAGCGAGCACCTGGCTCTCCAAGCCATCATAAGGACGTGCAGTCTCATGTAGGAGAAGATTGGCTGCAAAAGGTGACCATTGGGCCAATAGGTGTTGATTCTTGGCGAGCAGCAGGAGGCCTAGATCCCACGGGATATGTGTGTTTGTGAGTGTGCGGAATGCTGCATCCCACCACTGCCAGAGTTGCTTAACCATCGGGCATGCTAGCAAGCAGTGTTCAATTGTTGCTCTAGCGAGCGGCGTTGCTCTTCCACAATATGTGCAAATGGGAGACAACAGACCTTTTTGTTCCAAGTCCGTTCTTGACACGAGCCAATCTGGGGTCGGGAGGCAACAGTGCAGAATCTGCCACTGCAAGAACCTGATATTGGTGGGCATAATCTTAGCGTAGGTAGGCCATGGTATATACTCCAGTAACTTGAGATCCATTAGTGAATCTCGTTCCCATCTTTGATCAATTGGCAGTTCTGGTCTTGAGGCTCTATAGACCCCTTTCACCGTGTACTCCCATGCATGCATAGGCCATTCCCATTCAGGCAGGTCAAACGGCAGCTTGGCAATCGAGATTGTGGGCTTGTACACAAAGAAACCGTTGTTACATCACCTACCAGTCTAGTGAGCATTAGCCCTCCCCACATTTCAATTGCATCCAGGTCTTCATTCCTTGTCAGTTGGGGGAATCTGGCCCCCGGCCCCAGTAGTTCGTGGGCATGTAATGTACATCGAGCTTCATCATTCCAACTAACTTTGAAAACGATGCGCGGATGGGGAAAGTCTGCATATCTTATGACCCAGTCGTTCGGTAGCACCACATGACTCTTTATGAGGACCCGTCTCCAAGCCAAGGGGAGGTGACGCATGCTCAGGGGAGCAATGCGCAGTGGACCAAGGATCTGCAATATGATGAAAAGGACTGAAGTGAACAAAGCAATGTCATCATAGCATCAACAAACAATGTACACCTCGATACATACAAATGGCACAATGTGGCGCAGCGGAAGACTCAAAGATAAGATCTGATCTGACCTGGACTGACCCGACATCCATCGGACATCACACATGTGAGATAAGAGGAGGGACCGCAAACACGGAAGAAAGGTCCCTCCTTCATACGCAACATGGGGGAGATACCACGGATGAGAGATGGGGGAGGGATGAGACGAAGGAGATGGGAGGCGAGAGAGTAGACCCAGATCGCAATGGCAAAGTCCAAAATAGTCTCTTGCCGAATGTCCCAACAATGTCCGTCCCAGAAATGTCGAATCAGATCGTGGGCAATATGCCCTTTACAACCTCTACCTGAATCCCTACTGATAACCTCTTACACTCTCATAGAAGAAGAAGAAGGAAGAGGGAGGAGGGAGAAGACAGAGAGAGAGAGAGAGAGAGAGAGAGAGAGGRGGATGAAGTCCTCCTTGCTATCTCACCTGCAGGTAGCTGCCACTTGAACTGACCTCGTCCGTTGCTGTGTGCAGGTACCGCGTGGAGCCCAGCTATGGCGCCAGGTAAGCTCACCGACTGCAGGTATGGCCTCCGCCACTCTCTACCTCGCCTAACTCTACTCCCTACTCCTCTACTTAGCGCAGCATAGCGCAACCTCCAACCAGCAGCGTGTCGCTCAGAATGAGCTACTCGAACTCTTTTTGCCCAGGAGCTGGCCCAGCTATAAGTAGTGCTGGGCCGTGGTGCTGTACCCTCGACCTGCGATCTGGGCCGTGAGATCGTAGGTCCGATC